TTTAGAAGCTTAATTATGTATAAACTTACCGAATTAAATTAACGGACTGACAAAAAAATTACATTTTTCATAATTTAAGAATAAAAAAATATAAAAAATAATTTAAGTATTAAAAATATTTAAAATTGCAAGTTTAAAAACTAAAAATACATTTAACCTTTTTTCTTAATTAGAACATGTTTTTGAAGTGAGTGGGTAAGCTTTTTTTATTGAGTTTTCTAATATCTACACTTAAAATTCAAAATGTAATTAATGTACTTTTTAATCATTATTTATATAGTTTGATTTTAATTTTAATAATTAATTAATTAAATTAATACATATGATATTAATGTTGAAATTAATATTAACTATTTTTTTATATGACTTAGTGATTGAAAAATGCACTCATTTTTTTTTAGTGATCCTAATTCAACTTTAAATAAATTATTAAATTGATAAGGAAAGAGAATATAACAACATTCCCCCATCAAACACCAAAGTAACAAACAAGCCACTCAACATAGCACGTCCCTCAACCCTCAACCTTCTACAATCGATCAGCTCCACCCACACTACCAGCAATCAAGAGCTGATGGCCACACCCCAATCTGCTGAAGTTCCACATTGGCCACCTTGACCCAACAAATATTACAAACTGCTAGTGGGTCAACTAGCTCACTAGGAACTTGAATTTTAATATTAGTCTATCAGAAGCTGTTAGTGCGGCACTAAAGAGGTTTTTAGATCCCTCTAGCTAGGTAATTCAACGGATAATATTAAAAAAAATTTATCTAAATAAAAATACTTAAGAAAAATTAAGTATAGAAAAGAAAAAGATTTTAATTATTATTTATTTATTATAAAATTATTTAATTAAATTTTATAAAAATATTAAATTAAAGTAATTAAATTAAATAAAAAGATATTGATTACATCTTTAGTTTGTATTTTTATTGCATACATAAGTTTAAGAAAAAACCTCTTTGTTTTTGTTACTGTAGGCGTTTTTCTTTAAAAACCCTTAGGCAGGGCAAATGGTACCTTTACACCTAAAAATTTTTACTGGCCTCACGTTTCCCCAAAAATTCCCTAACATATTACCCCTGTCAAAAAGCAGAACCCTTCATCCCGCGTGACATACCTTTTTTTCCTAAAGAGAAGGACCTTTCACATTTTCCTATGAACTTTCTGCTTTCTTGACCCTTAGCCACCGTAGTGGGGTGCCTTTTTGACCCGTGACCACTGATAGCTCAGCGCTTGTGTCGGTTTATTGGCAGCTAGTGTTTGTTTTTTAACTGAAGTTAAATTATTGGCAGCTGCACTTGCGTCTTTTTGTTAAGTGAAAATAAAGTTA